GCTTCTTGCAAATTGCTATCCCACCCTACTCTAGTCAGTCTCTTCTCCTCTGCCGCACCGCTCACCACTGCTCACACCGCTCACCTCCAGCTCCAGCTCCACCTTTTGTTCGTTTATTTGTCTGTTTGTCATCTTTTATCTTTCATTTTTGCTTCTCTTTTTTTTTTTCTTTAATTTCTGTACTTCAGTTTGAGCATCAGCATGCATCAGTTAGCTATCACATATGTCCCATTACATTGCATAGATGGGTACCGTATGCCTATGTGCATCTGATATTAAAATTTTTCATTTGGTGGTTTTGCAGCATTCGATCTTTTCAAGCAGCAACAGCTCCCAGCTTGTAAACTTGTCTTGACACCAGCGTGGATGAGTGCTTGCGATCTTTTGATTTGGTAAACTTGTTTTGATTTGGTGGTTTGGCAGCTTTTGATCTTTTTATTTTTTTATGCTTTAGTGTTTAACTAGTAATTTTCATGTTTTTAATTAGTAATTTTTAATTTAATTTTTTGTGCTTTAGTGCTTAATAAGTGGTTATAATCAAGTACTGTCATTGGTGGTTGAAGTCTAGCAAGGTTTCTGATAAGTCTTTTATGTAAAACTAAAAGGAATGGTCTGTTTTTATTGTGATGCGCTTGACCTGTCTTTGTTAGGGATGTGTCTAATGATTTACTATCAATATTCCAATGTGGACTAATAACTCTTCCACTAGGACTAATGATGTACTATCAATATTCCAATTCGATACAGGCACTGATGTGTCTTCAAGATTGGTTGAAGAAAGATCTGAAAGGTATTAAATTAAGGCTATATTTCTCTTATTTTCTTATTTTTGAATTTGTATTCTAAACTTTTATTATGTTTGCAATTCAGGTTCTCACAATAATGGAAATTTCTTCAATCTATTTGAGGAGTTGGAAGAGAATGATAATGAGGAGGATGAGTCTGAGGTAAATTTTAAACAATAATGTCTTTTTTATATAAACTCTGATATAAAGAAAATTTTCTAAAATTTTGTTCATTTGGGGTATTTGTTTTTATTTCAGGAAGTTATTTCTTCAACTTGAAATTATTAATCAAGCCTAGCTAAAGTTGCTGCTGTAGAGTTTGCTTTGCTGGATTGGATGGATATGTACACATGTGCCACTTTTTAGACTCTTTTATGTGCTTTTTCTTAATGAACTTATTGCGGGACATGTTGGCAGCAATTTATGCTTTTTTTTTCTATCAACTTTGCTTAATCTAGACATATATGACAG